GCCCTGGGTTCAATTCCTCAGCACCACATAAGCAGAAAAAGCCAGAAGTGGCACTGTGGCTCAAGTGGTAGAGCGCTAGCCTTGAGCTGAAGAGCTGAGGGACAGCACCCAGGCCCAGAACTCAGGCCCCAAGATCGGCAGAAAAAAAGAAACAAAAAACCTAAGTAGTCCCCCAGTGGGCACTGGAGTTTTATGCCTATAATTGATCGTAGCTACTCTAGAAGCTGAGTTCTGAGGATCGAGATTCAATGCCAGCCCAGGCAAGAAAGCCAATGAGAGTTTCTCCAATTTACCACCCAAACTCCCTAAGTGGAGCTATAGCTCAAGTGGTAAAATGCTAGCCTTGAGAGAAAAAGCTAAGGGACAGCACCCAAGCCTTGAGTTCAAGTTTTAGTACCAGCAAAACACATACATAAAACAAAAACATGAAGTAGTCCAAGACGGAGGAAAAAAAGACTAAATCATGTTACAGTGAAAATAGCAACAAGCAGATTAAAGAGCAATTAAGAAATACTTTCAATAATTTTGCAAGTTATCTTGAGGGGAGCTATAAGCAATGTCACTGGGAATAATACGTCCAAATGCTTTTTACTTTACTATGTACAATTGTTGTTTACGAGTGTGAGTCTTTTAAGAATTCTACTCCACAAAGTTCACGTTTGTGTTTTGATAATGGTGGAATTTCAATAGACTTACTTACCTTTCATTATGAGATTTCCAAGAGAGAGTAGTTAACAGAGACTCATTCTAAAAAGTTCCTAGTAAAACAAAGCAGGAGCAAAGAAGAGTCAAGGGACATGGAGAAAAAGAACAATTTGAAGCCTTGGTGACAGCCCTTAATTGGTGAAAAAAGAGGATGGGTAAGGAATTAAAAGAAAATTCTCTCTCTCTAGAGAAAAGCTGATGAATTGAAAAAAGATTATGAATTTAAATTTAATTGCTTTTACTATGTTTATATGAATTCACTCATTTATTGAACATTGTTTTGTGTGAGTGTGTGTGTGTGAGGGAAGACTTGAACTCTGGGCCTGGGTGCTGTCCCTCAGCTCTTCAGCTCAAGGCTAGCGCTCTACCACTTGAGCCATAGCACCATTTCCAGTTTTCTGGTGGTTTATTGGAGATAAAGAGTCTTGCCTGGGCTGGATCTGAATCATAATCCTCAGATCTCAGCCTCCTGAGTAGCTAGGATGACAGGCGCGAGCCACCAGCGCCCAGCTGTTGAATGTCTTCAATGACTTATCCTTGCTTGTAATGTTCTCAGACTATTGCAATTGCCATATTTTATATATATTCTGCTGAGCTACAGCAGATTTTCTTGGACCAGAATCATATAACTGTTTTAGAGTGGAAACCAGGGCCTCAGACAGGTAGGCATGTACTCTACTATGAACCCATCTCCCCAACTCAGCTTTACTTGTTAACAAACCTGTCACTAAGATTTGTAGGTATAGCTTACTTTCTTTGTGCTACAAGAAGTAAGTACTTTCTTAAGTCTGACTAGTTTTCTTGCTTCAGATAGTACCCTATTCCAACTCACTTCCTAGATTTAATGTTAAAAAAGTAAGTTGATCCCAACACCAATAGCTCATGCCTGTAATCCTAGCTACTCAGAAGGCTGAGACATGAGGACATGTGGTTCAAAGCCAGCTCTAGCAGGAAAGTCTATGAGCCTCTCATCTCCAATTAAGCGCCAAAAAGCCAGAAGTGGAACTTTGGCTCAAGTGGTAGAGTGCTAGTCTTGAGCAAAAAAGCTCAGGGATTGCACCCAGGCCCTGGATTCAAGCCCTAGAACGAGTGTATATGCACACACGTGCACGCACACACGCACACACACACACATACAAAGTAGGTTGAAATAGTAAAACTAATATCTGTTAAATTATCTTTCAACTATTAAAAACTTCTTATATATGGAAAAGCTTGAGTTTGCTGATTTTAATTTTATTTCTTGAACAGTGACACATACCATAGTAAGATTATGAAAGGCATACATAGAAAAATATCTAGAAATTCCACTGAAATAAACTCTAATCTAAAACCTGAGACACAACTGTTTCTATTTCTAGACATTTAGATATAACATTCTTTTTTCCTAGAAAAATACAATTAAGATCAATGAAAATAGATCTCCTCCATGTATAAATATACATGTATTATCTAAAATATGTAAATGATTCAGACAGTTTAAATGTTAGAATTTTCTTCTCAAATGAAATAATTATTACTGGGCACTGATGGCTCTGCCTGCAATCATAGCTAATCAGGAGGCTGAGATCTGAGGATCATGATTCAAAACAAGCAGGGCGACAAAGCCTGTGAGATGCTACTATCCAATTACCCACCAGGAAACAAAGTGGAACTGTGACTCAAAGTGCTTACAGTACTAGCCTTGAGCAGAAAAGCTCAGGGACAGTGCCTAGGCCCTGAGTTCAAGCCACATGATTGATAAAAAAAAAAAAAATTATCGGGCTGGGAAGGTGGCTCAGGGGTAGCGCGCTTGCCTTGCATGCATGAGACCATGGGTTTGATTCCTCATCACCACATAAGCAGAAAAAGCTGGAAGTGGGGCTGAGGCTCAAATGGTAGAGTGCTAGTCTACAGCTGAAGAGGTGAGGGACAGCGCCCAGGCACAGAGTTCAGGCCCCACAGCTGACAAAAAAAAAATATTATCTTCATAAACAAGCAGCACTAAGAGTTTCTAAAATGCATGCATTAACAAAGGCAATATTGTTTTGTGTGAATCAATACATAGCAATCTCACCTGGAGACACACACAGAACCACCACAATTTCTCCCTAAAGGAATTGTCAGGATCTAATGTTGGGCCCAAATAAGAACACCTGAGTCCATGAACTCTTGTTGGGCAAACAGATAAATGTCTACCTTCAATCATGCCATTTGCTAGTAGTTCTCCTGCAGAACTCCTGACACCAAAAGCACAGGCAGCAGGCAGAGGAACTGGCTGGAACAAAAAAGTCTAAAGAACAGGAATGAGGTTGCCACAGATAGACATTTCTCTGTCTCATTTCAGCAGTGGATGTCTTCTCCTTTTACCCATTACCTCCTCCTTCACCCTCACCTTCAGAGTCTGGCCTTGACTTAGCAAATGGCCAATCCAGCTCCTTCTTCCTTCCCCATATCCTCTTCCAGCTTAGACCATTCTCTCAACAATATGATTTCAACTACATCAAACTTTCACTGTTGACACCTCCAGCATCTTGCCTTTTAAGAGGTTGGTAAGAATTCCGAAGTAATATTAGGATATGCCAAAGAAAGGTCAAAACAACAGCCTCTTAGGTCATTCCCCTTGGTCCCCTCTACCCCCAGTTTAATGTCTTTCAAGGCATCAGTGGCTCATATTTGTAATCTTAGCTACTCAGGTGGTCTTCCTGAGTATTAAGAATTAAAGTTCAAAGCCATCCTGGGCAGAAAAGTTCCCAAGACTTCATCTTCAAAATAACTAGCAAAAATCAGGCCTGGAAGAGTAACTCAAGTGGCCAAGCACCAGTTGAACAAGCAAGACAGGCAAAAGCAAGAGGCATTGAGTTCAAGCTCTGAAACTATAAAAGGTTGTAACATCATTTCAGCAGTGATTTCCAACCTTTTTCCTGTCAGGGCACAAACAGAAAATGAGAATGGGGCTAATGGAGGATACTGCTCAAGGCAATCTCTGGGGACTGTAGGATGGGGAGGTCTGCCCTCCTGAAGTCTGACCCCACACTCTAGAGGGACACCAGCCAACAAACGATGACATGTAGTCCCTAAACTCCCGTGCACTAGTCAAAGAAGCATGTAAATAAGAGAAGAAATAAGAGAGAAGTCAGTGAAAACCTCAAGGTCTAATTCTTGCACATGTGGGCAGTTTTCTTTTTCATAAACTCTGGACATGTCTGTCCAGTATCCTGTAGGGACAGTCAGTAAATTATACCCCAGTTCTGATAGGTATCATGACTGGAGCTATTCAAAACTGCCACGGGATTTTTATTTTAATAGTTTCATGCTTAAAGTCTATCACCACTACAAGAATAAAAACAGACAACAATAAAAAACTAATGACTATGTAAGAATTTCTCATTCATGAAAGAAGACTATACTTGTTTCAATAGCCAGGTCATAAGATTTTAGGTTTTTCTATGCATTGCTACTTTTTAAAGGAAAAAAAAGAGAACAAACTTAAATTGTTACTTTGACAAACAGTATTTAATATTATAGTATAGGTTCTAATAGCAAGGAAGTTTTTTCCACAAGTCCTCCCATTACTCCTTCCCCCCTTTTCTAGTTCCTATATTTCTTTAAAACTATTTTTTTTTTATCTAATGTTTTTCCTTAGAGGGTAAAAAAGAAAACACCACTAGTGCTCTTTTTACTGGGAAAATAAAAGCACAGAATGAACAGTTCATTAAAATGCACAAGACTAAATGTGAGTGTATCTGTTTATTTAGAGTTTTCATTGAGTAAAATTTCAAATAAAGCGATCTACCCAATTGCTATAGTTTTAAAAGTTAAATCACTTTTCATTCTCTGAAAAAAACCTGTGGCACAAATTAACAGTAGCAAGTAGAAAAAACAGAATTACATTTAAAACATAATTCAGAGAACATTATTTACCTCTTTGAGATTAGTAAGCATGCTATTAGTAACAAAAGCCAACAAGAATGAAATACAGATGTTTATAGCTTATGTTTGCATGCATCATAAAGACAATGAAAACAATAATTTTAGAACTTTTCCTAATGATAAGTATAAACATATAAATAGGAAAGTCCCTCCCTTTGAATTTTTTTACCACCAGATTTTTTTTCTATACTTAACAATAGAAGTTTTTACTTTTCAGCTGTCAGTACAAATCTCTTACTTCTTTAACATTTTTATGGTATACAATTTAGTTATTAGCGATGCATTTAAAAATGGAACAAGTCTATGAGAAAAGCTGAATTGCTTCAGGATAACTAGAGGAGACTTAAGCAGGCCTGTATTGTATGGAATTGCAGCATACATACTGTATTGCCCCGTGCTAGTCTGATATATGCTAGTTGGCACTGCCATAGCGATGTTAGGGGGTGTTCCTTCTTCCTCTGATTTTTCTTCTTCAATCTTGGGAATACCAGGCACATCCGAGGAAAGTTCATTCAGTATTTTTCTAAAATATCATGGAATAAAACAAATAATCAGGATAGATAAATGAGATGTCAAACAGAAAAGCAACTGCAACTTATGCAACTGCATAAGTTGACTTATGACTTATGCAACTGCAACCCCTTTGTACATCACCTTTATAATAACAATAACTTTCTTAATCAGAAAAGCTATAAAGGAAGAACTGTGTTGGTCTAGGATTATTCTACTTTCCTGGACCAAGTATCATTCCAGAAGGAAACTAAGTTAACTCACCTATAAGAGGGTCTTCGCGAAAGGATTTCTCTGCGTTTATGTGGATCAATTACACCTTCTGATTCTGCAGATTCATCTGTCTCTGCAATTGTTGCTACCTACAATACAAGATTTTTGAAATACATAATAAAATACATGATCTTACTCATTTAAAACATAGTGGTTAGGCCAGGCACCTGTTGCTACTTAAGGAGGCTGAAATCTGAGGATTGTGGTTCAAAGCCAGCCTGGACAGAAAAGTTCATGAGACTCATCTCTAATTAGCCACAAAAAGCAAATGGTGGAGGTGTGGCTCACATGGTGGAGTGTTAGCCTTGAGTGAAAAACCTAAGTGACAGTGCTCACATCCTGAGTTCAAGTTATAGTAGTGGCACCAAAGATAGAAACACACACACACACACACACACACACACACACACACACACACACACACACACACACACACACACACGAACAAACCAAAAAAAACACAGGTGAGCCAAGTAGCAACGGCCGACTCCTATAGCGGTGGCTGACTCCTATAATACTAGCTACTCAGGAGGGTGAGATCTGAGGATTGTAGTTCAAAGCCAGCCCAGGCAGGAAAGTCTGTGAGAGACTTCATCTCCAGTTAACTGCCAAAAAAAAGCTGACAGTGGAGAACTGTGACTCAAGTGATAGAACACTTGCCTGGAGCAAAATATCTCAGGGACAGTGCCCAGGCCCTGAGTTCAAGTCCCAAGAGTGGCGCACACACGCTCTCACGTGTGCACGCACACACAAACACACACACACACACACACACAAACCCCACCCAAAAAATCCCCCCCCAAACCCCACAATAGTGGTTAAGTGTCTTGGTATGTAGTGCTGAGTGGGTGTGCTTGAGCAATTCACAACGCACAGTGAATTGGCACTACCAAAGTACAGACACAATTGTTGTTAACAATATATGTTTGGCAAGAAATGGAGAAAATAGTAAGTACTATGGAAATAGTAGCTTCACAGAATATGACAAAGCATAAGGTACGTCAGACACACAATCCTCAACCCAAATGTGCCCTTACAAATCCATCAGTGAAGGAGTTACAAAACCAGTGACAGAGACAGAAAACAATGCTAAATTTCTCTCCTCTCTTCACAGAATTATAGCTGAGTTGAGCTGGGCCTTCCAGTTACACTCAAAGAAGAAAGAATATTTAAGTAAGCAAATCAAGCTGTTAAAGCTAGGATTTATATTGTAAGGGGTAAGGTTAGGGTTTTATTGTGGAAGATCTTGAAAGGCAAAATTTAAAAATTTCCTTAAGCTGGAAGTATTTGGTACACTTCTGCAATCATAGCACTTGGTAGATTAAGACACGAAGATCATCTATTCAAGGTCAGGCTGTGCTCCACAATAACATCTTTTCTCAACAACAGTTATTTTCTCTTTAAAGAAATATCAGGGGACTGGGAATGTGGCTTAGCAGTAGAGTGCTTGCCTTGCTTGTATGAAGCCCTGGGTTCGATTCCTCAGCACCACATAAACAGAAAAGGCCAGAAGTGGCCCTGTTGCTCAAGTGGTAGAGGGCTAGCCTTGAGCAAAAAGAAGCTCAGGGACAGTGCTCAGTCCCTGAGTTCAAGCCCCAGAACTGGCAAGAGAAAAAAAGTATCAGAGTCAGGTACTGGTGGCTCATGCCTGTAACCCTAGCTACTCAGGAGGCTGAGATCTGAGGATCATGATTTGAAGCCAGTGGGGCAGGAAAGTCTGTGAGACTCATCACCAATAAACTACTGTGGCTTGAGTGGTAGAATGCTAGCTTTGAGCCAAAGAAACTCAGGGACAGTGCTCAGACCTTAGGTTCAAGACTCAGGGGGAGGGGGGAGGCTGGGAAGGGATGTGAAGGGTAAACAAAGGAGGAGGCTGCAATACTTGGTAAGAAATGTATGCATTATCCTGCCCATGTAATTGTAACCCCTCTGTACAGTATGTTCACAAATAAAATAAAATATTAAATTAAAAAAAAAAGCATCAGAGTTTTTTTTTAAATCATAATTTCACTTTTCAAGTCAGGCACTAATATAAAAATGTGATTTTTAAAGAATGATATAGTAGTAAAATAATTTCTACATTAACATATCTGCTATCAATATATTTAGCCATTTAACTCAAGCTCAGGTAACTAAATTTAACTCAAGTAGCTAAATTTACAAAACTCAACTTAATATTATTATTACACAAGAACTTGATTTGAGCAAATTAAGCTTACTAAAAAATCAAGAATGCAGGGTTGGGAAGGTGGCTCAGTGGTAGAGGGCTTGCCTTGCATGCATGAGGCCCTGGGTTCGATTCCTCAGCACCACATAAGCAAAAAGAAAAAAAAGCCAGAAGTGGCGCTGTGGCTCAAGTGGTAGAGCGCTAGCCTTGAGCTGAAGAGCTGAGGGACAGCGCCCAGGCCCAGAGTTCAGGCCCCAGGACTGGACCCAAAAAAAAAAAAAAAAAAAAAAAATCAAGAATGCAAGTAAGATTCAGTATACACTCTGTGAAAAATGACCTATGTAACTCGTGGGCATGGATGGAAGGAGGAAACTGGGGAAACATTACCTGACTTATAAAATGGTAATCCCTTTGTACCTTAAAAACAATAAAATTATATTAAAAGAGTAAGAAGAATGTAAGCAAGAATATACATTTCCTTAAGCACATAGGTTGTGTGTATATTCACTTAAACGTATGACCATGGACCTCTGGTTATGGACAATCCAAACATAAAACATGTACACTCACTGTACAGTACCTACTGAAAAAATGTTTCTGTATTAGATAATCATGTATCACCATCAAATATTAGTCACTTTACACTAGGCTCCCACACCTGTCTAACAACCAGATCATCAACAAGCCAACAACCAAAGCTCATGCAGATAGATTGATTTGTCCATTTTTCTAAAGCATAGGAACTCTATCAAGAGATCCACCAGCATTTATCTTTACAATTATCTAATTCATTAAATAACAACAAAGTCTACTGAACATAGGAAATACTTTCTTCTAATAGCCTGTTTGAAACATAATATAAATTTTTGTACCCCAATAAAAGCCATGATACAAAGAAGAGTGGTTGGGAACTTTGTTTTATAATTAGGGTCAGAAAGAGCTAGAAACAAAAGGTCATCATAGTAAATAAAAGAAAGTGGTGCCGGTGCCAGTGGCTCATTCCTGCAATCCTACCAATTCCAGAGACTGAGATCTGAGGATCACAGTTCAAAGCCAGCTCAGGCAGGAAAGTCTGTGAGACTCTCATCTCCAAGTAATTACAAAAAAAGTTTGGTGGGGGGAGACTGGGGTGAGGTAGGGGAAGGATGGAAGGATGGATGAGAATGTTGAAAAGGGGTGACATTGATCAAGATATTTGTATTCATAAACTGCTTTAAAAAAAAAAAAAAGCAGAAGTAGAGCTATAGCTCAAATGTAGAGTGCTAGCCTTGAGCATAAAAGCTCAGGAGAGCACCCAGACCCTGAATTCAAGCTCCAAGACTGGTACATACACAAAAAAAGTAAACAAAAAAAGTGGTGAGAATTATTATTTTTCCTTTTGAGTTTTGTTATGTTTTGTTGTCCTGGGAATTGAACTCAGAGCCCCTCACTTTCTAGGCAAGTGCTCCACCACTTAAGCCACTCCCCACAGCCATAAGATCTTACAGCATGTGGATTTGTTCCTTAAACAGTGTCCCATTTACCCTCATTGAACTACACTCAAACCCACAAAGTACACTGCTAAGTGTGTGCATGTCATTTTCCTCATAGATTTCCCCCCTATCAATTAGGTTCAAATCATTTTAGCATTTAAAGCTGATCTCAGAAAGGAACAGAAAGAACGTCAGTATGTTTTAAGTGATTATTAATTTGTCGTTGATTTGTTGTTGTCTATGGACAGTCACAAAATTAATCCCATGTACAAAATCCAAGCTTCAAGCTGAGGACCATGGAATATAAACATAGCATATACATTCCCCCTCAGGTTAGACTGGTGAATATAGCACAAGGTTAACATGCACAAGGCTCTGGATTCAATTCCCAGCACCAACCAATAAATGTCACAATTACTTCTAAGGATTATATACACTAAATGCAAAATAAACTAATGTGAATATTCATGAACATGGTACTGACAACATAATCTTTATTAATCTTCTTTGATGTCTTTATGATTTCTTTTTAATAAGTTTTTTATTGTAAAAATACTGTATAGAGGGGTTACAGTTACATGAGCAAGGTAATGAGTACATTCCCTATCAAGCATTGCTGCCTCCTCCTTTGTTTTTCCCCTACCATCCCTTCCCTCCCACCTCTACAACTACACTCCCCCCTTATTAATCTTTATATTACCACATTTATCAGACATCTTCTGCAAAGAACCCTTGAGATATTATTTAAACATCACTGGACAACTTTGCTAAAAAAAAATCTGAGTCCAAACACATAACAGCTCAAAGACATGAAGTGCTTATCTAACAATGTCTCATTCTGAAAATTAAAATAAAACAACAAAACTCCAACCCTTTTTGTTTCTTGGTTTGTTTGACAGGCATTATGTAGTCTAAGCTGGCCTCAATCTTGAGATCCTTCTAACTCAGCCTCCCAAGTTCTGATATTATAGGCATATGTCACCATGTCCAGCCCAAACACTAAGTCTGAAGTTAAATCTATTCACCTAGCAGGACACAACACACTACTGCACCAAAAAAAGAGATGAAATTCCTATAAATATCTAAAAAGATTTGATTATAAAAGCTCCATAAAGAAGAATGATGATAAATGAATTAATGAAGGGCTAATCACCCAGGAAGGAAGCTAACTGAACAGTTTGTATTTGTGGTGACTGAAAAGCCGATGGCTGTGGTGTCTGAATTACTCCCTGGACCTGCACAGTTTGGCCTGAAGGTAACTGCACTAGAGTCACAGCTGGACAGCCTCTTCTGATGCCTGATCCAGCTACAGAAACCTGCAAAAGTGATCATCATTGAGGATTAAAGCTGGACCTTTTGGGCTGTCATTTTTGCTTACTTTTAAGAAGTACCACTCACTAACATGACTGGCCTACGTCTCATTTCTTAGTTTTGCTTTTAAGAGATGACAGACAGGCAGGGGTACTTACCATTAGGAGGTGCTCACTGTCCTGGAGCTGTCATTCTCTGATGTGACAGATACTAAAGAACCCATGCGCCTCACTTTTGGTGCCCATGCTTCGGTGGAGGAGAATGTTCTGGATGTAAAGTTCTAAAGCAGTTAAACTACCTCACTACCACCTCACAGCCACTAACAGTGATGCCTTCCCTTGTGGAGACCAGAGTATGAACTCTCTCTCTCTAACATAAGAGAAATTAGAAAGAACTTCAGTATGGTGAATTGTTTTAATAAATAAAATAATAATAATAGTAATAATAATAATAATAATAGTAATAAATAAAAGTTTCATATGACAAATCTAGGACTGCTTCAGATGCAAGCTGATACTCTGTCACAATAAGCCAGGTGCTAGTGGTGCATACCTGTAATCCTAGCTATTCAGAAGGCTGAGATATGAGAATAAAGGTTCAAAGCTAGCCTGGGCAGACAAATCCACGAGACTCTTATCTCCACTTAGTTACCAAAATCGCAGGAAGTAGAGCTGTGGCTCAAGTGGTCAAGCACTAACCTTGAGCAGAAGAGCTCAGGAACAGAGCCTAGTACCTGAATTCAAGCCCTAGGATGAACAAAAAAAAAGTCACAATTGTATGCCTCTTATAATCACAGGAGAAAAAAATGCACAAACCAAAGAAATTCCTGATCTAGAGTGTCTGATCTGGAGCTGGAGTGGCTTCTGCCACCCATGACCTTCCTTCCCAGAGGTGGAGCACTGAGCTAGAGAGAGGGGGCCAGAGCATCTCTCAGCGCTGAGCAGAGAGGTGCAGTCTTCTCACAGCCTTCACAGCACTTAACACAGTTCCCCACACCACATGCCCCTCCACACACTCTGCACTCAAAACCTGCAAAGTTTGTTAAGTATTGAATAATTCTGGCTTATATGCCAGTGTAATTTAGGAAATCTGGTTCAGTTATTCACTTATTCATTGAGAAGCTACCAATTTCTATCTGTATTAGTGGTAGAACTTTGGGATTTTAAATAATTTTTAAGGAAGCCTCTATGTGTGATCTCACTTTTAAGGAATATCAATGCTATCCAATCTACTAGTACTATAAAGGGCTTAATAATAATTGGGTTTAGTGGTAGAGTGCTTGCCTTCCATGCATGAGGCCCTGGGTTCAATTCCTCAGCACTACATAAGCAGAAAAGGCTGGAAGTGGTGCTGTGGCTCAAGTGGTAGAGCGCTAGCCTTGAGCTGAAGAGCTGAGAGACAGCGCCCAGGCCCAGAGTTCAGGCCCCATGACCGACAAAAAAAAAAATAATAATAATTGGGTTTAAGTTGGGTACTGGTGGCTCACACCTGTAATTCTAGCTACTCAGGAGGCTGACAGGAAAGTCCATGAGACTCTTATTTCCAATTAACCACCAAAAGCCTAGAAGTGAAGCTGTGGCTAAAGAGCACTAACCTTGAGTAAAAAAGCTCAAGGGTCGGGCCCAGGTCTAGAGTTCAAGCCCTAAAACCAGCACAAAACACAACAACCTCATTTACAAGCCAGGTGTGCTGGCATTGCCTATAATGCCAGTATTTGGGGGTACAGGCAGGAGTATGGATAGTTCAAGGCTGGCAGGGGCTACGTAAAAATATGGCCTTGTCTCAAAACTAAAACAACAACAATTAAAAAAAAACTGGACGGGGCACATGGCTCAAGTGGAAATGTATCTGTCTAGTAATTGTGAGGTCTTGAGTTCAAACCCAATACAGAAAGAGGGAGAGAGGCAGACAGACAGACGCACACACAGAGAGACAGAGACAGAGAGAGGCTAGCCTTACAACAAATAACTAAGGTTTATTATTAACATCATTTGTTTGGAAGACAACTTCTATGGAAAACCAAAAGCTAAAAATCGGATACCCATGTAAGAGTTCGTGCTAAGTATTGCACTAAGTGTGTACTAAAGTATAGAGTTGATAAAACTAACACCTAGAGAAAAAAGCATACCTAATAGTAAAGACTGGTTGTTCCACTTTAGAGGCTGAGGATATCACAGTAAACCCTGGACAATAGAAAAGCTTTGTATACAAGTCAGAGCTTGAACCAGGCCTTGAGCTGAGCTTGATAACAGCTGGACAGAAAGTGAGCAATGAGGGCAGAGGCCACCATATATATAGCCCAAGAGGCCATTTCAGCCTGCCTATCTCTGTTATCATGAACCTTAAGACTTTAGAGGGAAAGAAGAACAGCCATGTGGAGTAGACTTAGCAACTTACAAGATCAAGGACTGGGAATGTGGCTTAGCAGTAAAAGTGCTTGCCTAGCATGCATGAACCCCAGATTCGATTCCTTGGTACCATATAAAGAGAAAAAGCCAGAAGTGGCACTCAAGAGATAGAGTGTTAGCCCTGAGCAAAAGAAACTTTGAGAAAGTGCCCAGGCCCTGAGTTCAGGCCCCAGGACTGGCAAAACAAAACTACAAGATCAAAAGAAAAAAAAATAGATTAAGGTCATGTCTGAAGCAGTGGAGCTATAGTGCCTGCCTACAAAGCACAAAATTGGGGGCAGGAGGAAGAGAGAGAGAGGCAGAGAGAGACACAGACACACAGATACAAACATGGACAAGACAGGAGAGGAAAGAGGGAAGAGAGATAGAAGGAAGGAAGGAAAAAAGGAAGGAAGAAAGGAAGGAAGGAAGGGAAAGATGGATTTCTTATACAAATGTCAACACAAAAGGCAACTTTATAAAAAGACATCCATCTGCCAGGCACTGGTGGTGGTACCTGCAATCTTAGCTATTTAAGAGGCTGAGATGTGAGGGTCACAGTCAAAGCCATCCCAGATAGGAAAGTCTCCATAAGACTCTGATCTCAAATTAACCACCAAAAATCCAGAAGCAGAGTTATGACCCATGTGGTAGAGCACTAGTCTTGAGGAAAAAAATCTCAGGGACAACACTCACACCCAAGAGTTTAAGCCTCAGGATCGGCACCAAAAACAAACCCACATACAATATCTACCTTGGTGTTGATCAATTACCAAAACATTCCCTGTTCTCCATACAACTAATTCTTAAAAACTATAGTCTTAGGATACTTATACCCTTAACACTCTAAACAATCTCAGAACACTTTTACTTGCTTCTATAAATCTACTATATTTCCATCTGGTGGAGGCTGATCAGAATTTACTAACCAGATCCTGGCAAGTATGAGCTTCATTTACAGCTTTTGCTCATTCTTGTGGTGAAAACACACCTGCTACAGCAGATTTCAAGCTACTATTAAACAAGCTATTGAAAAAGCCGGGTGCTGGTGGCGCATGCCTGTAATCCTAGCTACTCAGAAGGCTGAGATCTGAGGATCATGGTTCAAAGCCAGCTTGGGCAGGGAAGTCCGTGAGACTCTTATCTCCAATAAACCACTAGAAAACCAGAAGTGGCACTGTGGTTCCAGTAGTAGAGCACTTGCCTTGAGCTGAAGAGCGCAGGGACAGCGCCCAAGCCCAGATTTCAAGCCCATGACTGACAAAAAACAACAACAACAACAACAAATAAACAAGCTATTGGACACTATGTCAGAAAAAAAAAGATGTAGGGGCTGGGAAGGTGGCTCAGTGGTAGAGTGCTTGCCTTGCAAGCCAAAGGCCCTGGGTTCAATTCCTCAGCACCACATAAGCAAAAAGAAAAAAAAGTCGGAAGTGGCGCTGTGGCTCAAGTGGTAGAGTGCTAGCCTTGAGCTGAAGAGCTGAGGGACAGCGCCCAGGCCCAGAGTTCAGGCCCCACAACCAGACCCGAAAAAAAAAAGAAAAAAAAGATGTACATTGCTGCTTCCTGCCAGCCACTATAAGCAGTCTGATTTTCTCTTTTGATAAATGCCCTATTAGAAATTAAAATGGAGACAAATATTCATTTAGAAATAAATATAAAACCCACTACATACTTACATAAATGACATCTTATTGAAAATAACAATTACATCCTCCAAAACAATTTATTTCAAGTGGCTTTATTTTTATACCTTTACAAAATTCTGTGAATGACTAGCTTAACAGAAGTCAGCCAGACTCTCTCTCTCTCTCTTTTGGTCATGGGTCTGAACTCTGGGCCTGGGTGCTGTCCTTCAGTTCTTCAGCTCAAAGCTAGTGCTCTACCACTCCAGCCACAGTGCTACTTAGGGCTTTTTCTGTTTATGTGGTGCTGAGGAATTGAACCCAGGGCCTCACGCTTGCAAGGCAAGCACTCTACCACTGAGCCATTTTCCCAGCCCTTCTTCTTTCTTTCTTTTTAATCAGTCGCGGGACTTGAACTTGACCTGCATGCTGTCCCTAAGCTCTTTTTGCTCAAGGCTAGTGCTCCTACCACTTTTGAGCCATAGTGCCACTTCTGGTTTTCTGGTGGTTAACTGAAGACAAGAGTCTTGTGATTTTTCCTGCCCAGGCTGGCTTTGAACCATTATTCTCAGATCTCACCCTCCTGAGTAGCTAGGATTACAGGCATGAGCCATAGGTGCCCATCTGCCAGATTCTTATATTCACTTATACAATGACTCTGTTGAGCGTCTGTGTTCATTGTATAAGAAAATGGGACTACACTTCAGACATTTTCTTTATTTTGTGCTGGTCCTAAGGCTTGAACACAGTGCCTGGGCACTGTCCCTGAGCCTTTTTTTCTCAAGACTAGCATTCTACCACTTGAGCCATAGCTCCACTTCCAGCTTTTTGGTGGTTAATTAGAGATAAGTGTCTCACAGACCTTCCTGCCCTGCCTGGCTGTGAACCATGATCTTCAGATCTCAGCTTCTTGAGTAGCTAGGATTATAGGCAGAAGCCACTGGTGGTTGGCAACATATGATTTTTTTTTAAGGGGAACATTATAATTTATCAGAAACATGTGGATATATTTCTTTGCCACAGCCAAACTTTAACACTTCGCTATTTGTAAAATCATATTAGTTACATTAAAACCCACTGACTTATTGTGTGCTTTGAATGGACCTTTTACCTACAAAAGATTTTGTAACATCACACAGTAGATATTTGGAGAACATTGCCTTGCTAAATTAAGTAAACCTTCCAAATGCTTCTGGATTTTATCACACAGCTATCAGAAATCACATTCCCTAAAATCACCAATGACACATCATCAGAAAACTATACTGTCAAGATCAAAATGAAAAATGGATACAGTTTTTCTAAAATTCATATTTTCCTCTTAAAAGTTCAAATTTTAGAGCTGGACCTGGTGGCTCACCCCCACCCCCACCCCCTGTAACCTAGCTATTCAGGAGGCTGAGATCTAAAGATCACAGTTCAAAGCTAGCCTGACCAGAAAAGTCCGTGAGATTCTTATCGCCAATAAACTACCGAAAAAAGCCAAAAGTGGAGCTCTGGCTCAAGTGATAGAGGGCTAGCCTTGAGCAAAAGCAGCTCAAGGACATTACCCAGGCCCTGAGTTCAAACCCCAGGATGGACACCAAAAAAAGTTCAAATTTTGGGGCTGGGAAGGTGGCTCAGTGGTAGAGTGCTTGCCTTGCATGCATGAGGCCCTGGGTTCAATTCCTCAGCACCACATAAGCAGAAAAAGCCGGAAGTGGCCCTGAGGCTAAAGTGGTAGAGCGCTAGCCTTGAGCTGAAGAGCTGAGGGACAGCGCCCAGGCCCAGAGTTTAGGCCCCATGACCGACCAAAAAAAAAAAAAGAAGTTCAAATTTTATCATTGCTAACAGTTAGTTACAACCTCACTTGACTTGTTTTTAAGAAAAACAATCTGGGCCAGAGGTATGGCTCAAGTGGTAAAGCATCAGCAGAGCAAAAGTGAGGCCCTGAGTCCAAATCCTAGTACCAATGAATGAATAAATACATAGGTTTGGAAACAACACAATGTATCCTACACATTAGAATTCAGATGGATCTTTTCATTAAAACAAAAAATGTTTTTGAGATAGGGTCACTCTATGCAGCCAAAGCTGGCACCAAACTTGTAATTCTTCCTATGCAGGGATCACACACACACACACACACACACACACACACACACACACACACACACACACACACACACACACACACACACACACAAACCAGCTGGGTGCTAGTGGCTCATGCTTGTAATCCTAGCTACTCAGAAGTCTGAGATCTGAAGATTACAATTAGAAGCCAGCCAATCTATAGGACTCATCTCCAATTAATCACCAAAAAGTCAGAAGTGTAGCTCTAGTTACTCATATGGTAGAGTGCCAACCTTAAATAGAGTCAGTTGCCCTGAGTTCAAGCCCCATTAACAGGAAAAATAAAAAGGAAAAAAGAAACTTATACAATAAAATAATATAAGTAGATGGTCATTTATACTATTATATTTATATAATATGTAATATATGATAGTATGACAATTACCTTATTTGTAATGTAGTATTCTAAAACAGTTGTAGAAACAGGGATGAATTCTTGCCTGAAAACACTATTCTTACCAGGAGATAAAAATGTTCACTTGATGCTAGGCACCGGTACTGACACCTGTAATCCTAGCTACTCAGGAGACTAAGATCTGAGGATCACAGTTCAAAGCCAGCTGGGAAAGGAACATCTGTGAGCATTAGCCTTGAGCAAAAATGCTCAGGGATGCAAGTGCCTAGTCCTGAACTGAAGCCCCAGGACTATCAAAAAAAAAAAAAAAAGTTCACTGGAACTATAATAGGCACATTGCAGTTAGAAATAAAGAAGTCTTTTTTAGTTAATGTATAAGTGATTTAATTAGATTCTTGATAAGTTTAGATTATTATTTTGTGAGGATAAATTCCATTTTTTCTAGCAAAAACATCGCATGTAGCCTTGGAGCTGAGGAATAGCTTTGATTTTGGGTAGAATTTTTGAGTCCACAGCTTTCTGTTCAACCTTGCATTCCTCCGTAATGAAGAAGTCTTTCTTAATAGTATATCAAATATTCTCCAATACTTATTTGATCTAAGAATTTTTTTTAAATTCCAGTATATGGGAGGCTGAAGCAAGAAGATCACCAGCTAGGCCAGCCTGCAATATATAAAGCCTTGTCTCCCACAAAAAAATAAATAAAATAAAAAGGAGAGGTTGCTGGATGCTGGTGACTCAGTCCTATTCCTAGCTACTTAGGAGGCTGGGATCTGGGGATCACGGCTCAAAGCCAACTCAAGGAGGCGAGTCTGTGAAACTCTTATCTCCAATTAGCCACCAAAAAAATGAACAGGAAGTGGAGCTGTGGCTCAAGTGGTAGAGTGTTAGTTAGCCTAGCAAAAAAGCTCAGGGACAGCAACCAGGCCCTGCACACACACACACACACACACACACACACACACACACACACACACACACACACACGGTAGCAACCAGGCCCTGCACACACACACACACACACACACACACACACACACACACACACACACACACACACACACACACGGTAGAGAATTTTCAATAAGGAAAAATTTTTCACAGGAATGCACTCCATTTGTGAATTAACTCATTCTTATTCTGTCAACATTTTCCTAGAAGCTTGCCATGGTTTAGTCTAGAATAAATAGTGAGAGCCTCTGCCGTCCCATCAGAGACAGACAGAAAACAGATGGAGAAACAAATAATAATTTGGAGTAGTGCTCAGTTCTGCAAAGAAAAAAAGCAGGCTAAGGGATTGGAGAGTAACTAGACAGGCAAGTAGGGAAGGAGACTATTAGAGAAAGCCTCACAGAGAAGGGGTTATTTGCAAGAAAAGTGTAAAGGAATAGAAGGCAAAAGATATTTAGGAATACCTAAATATCTCTTTATCACATTCCAATAATCAAGTACTTGACTGATGAGAAAAGCAAGCTAAAAACAGAAAAGGTTATGTTTTAAATGTTTATAATAAGGCTTTAAGAGTGTGTAGAAAGGGGCTGGGAAGGTGGCTCAGTGATAGAGCACTTGCCTTGCATGCCTCAGGCCCTGGGTTCGATTCCTCAGCACCACATAAGCAAAAAGAAAAAAGCCGGAAGTGGCACTGTGGCTCAAGTGGTAGAGCGCTAGCCTTGAGCTGAAGAGCTGAGGGACAGCACCCAGGCCCTGAGTTCAGGCCCCACTACCGGACGCCCCCCCCCCCCCAAAAAAAAGAGTGTGTAGAAAAAAAATGTAATAGAAGTTTTAAAAAAGTGGGGCTGGGAAGGTGGCTCAGTGGTAGAGTGCTTGCCTTGCATGCATGAGGCATGCATGAGGCCCTGGGTTCAATTCCTCAGCACCACATAAGCAAAAAGAAAAAAGCCGGAAGTGGTGCTGTGGCTCAAGTGGTAGAGTGCTAGCCTTGAGCTGAAGAGCTGAGGGATAGCGCCCAGGCCCAGAGTTCAGGCCCCACGACCGGACCCCTCCCCCCCCCCCAAAAAAAAGAAGTTTTAAAAAAGTATAGAATGAGTGGGTACCAATGGTTCATGTCTTTATTCCTAGCTATCCAGGAGACTAAGATCTGAGAATCTCAATTTGAAGCCAGCCAGGGCAGACAAACTCGAGATTCATCTCCTATTAACTACCAAAACCTCAGAAGTGGAGCTATGGTTCATGGGGTAGAACACTAGTCTTGAACACAAAAGCTGAAGGACAGTGCCCAGACCCTGAGTTTAAGCCCTAGTGCCAGCACCAAAAACAAAAACAAAACAAAAAACCCAAAGTATGTAGAATGATCTTACAGTAGATATAATTTACCTTTTGTTCCAGATCCTCTGAAGAATAATCTTCTTCTATGGGATGTCTGAAACATAGGTTATGCTGATGCCACCACATCCACTGAGAACCCTATTACAGACAGTAGTAATCTGAAGAAACAGGTGAAGATGGTACACCTGACAGCCTTATTTGGCTCTGCAACTTTAAAAAAAAAGTCCTAATAATGACACTTAAGACTGGGAAAACCTCACAGTGGAGTAGCACAGCATTTGATCAGCACCTAGTGGGCCAGCTCCAGTCTGTAACTAGGTTTCCTCAGGGTGGAGTTTATGATGTCACAGTGCCCCTGGCAGTGTCACAGAGCTAAGGCCCATGTCCAAGGGACAGTTAATAAAGGAGGGATTAAAATGACATGAATTCACAATATAGCACTCAATTGCCTCAGAGACCAGCATTCCATGCTATCTAGTTTAATGTTGTGGACATTAATGAAACTCATTAATAATCTAAGTCAGATGTTGAAAGCTATCTTGATTCTGTATTAGGACACAACTCAAAAAAGGAATCTTTTTAGGGAAAAAAATAGTGTTGAAGTAATGATGCAAATATTTTAAAGTTGAAAACAGTAAACAAAATTATATGATGAATATTTGAATAAAGACATATGACATCTTATTTAAATGTGCAAAAAATTCATATTTTAGCTGGGCACTGGTGGCTCCTATCTGTAATCATAACCACTCAGGAGCTTGAGATCTGAGGATCATGGTTTGAAGCTAGCTCTGGCAGGAACGCCTATGAGACTCTTGTCTCCAATTAAGTACCAAAAAGCCAGAAGTAGTGGCTCAAGTGGTAAAATGCTAGCCTTGAGTGAATAAGCTCAGGGAAAAGTGCCCATGCCCTGAGTTCAAGCATCAAGACCAGCACGTGCATGTGCACGCACACATACACATACACACAATCTCCTATTTTGTTGTGCTAAATGAATACAAAGCAATATGAAAAACGAAATATATAGTAGTGCTTTTTTGTGTTATTATTGCTATTATTGTTTAGGTGCTGAAGATTGATTCAAGGCCTCACATATGCTAGGCAAGGGCTATATCACTGAGCTAAGTCTCCAGGTCTATTCTGGTGTCTTATTTCATTTTTTCTTTCCTTTTTTCATAGTATGGCTAGCAAACTGCAAAAGCAATGGAGTAAAATTTTACTTAACTTTACCATGAAAATATCAGTTGAAAACATTTAGAAGAGTTAGCTTAGAATAAAGAGCAGGGTGTCAATGACTCACACTTTTAACCTTATTACTTAGGAGGCTGAGATTTGAGGATTGCGGTTCAAAGCCAGCTTGGGCAGTCCCTGTGAGACTCTTATCTCTAATTAACCACTCAGAAACCAGAAATGGAGCTGTGGCTCAAAGTGGTAGAGTACAAGGCTTGAACAAAAGATCTCAGGGGCAGCGCCAAGGCTCTGAGCTTAAGTCCCACAACTGACAAGAGAAAGAAAGAAAAGAATTAGCCAGCCCAGACTTGATGGCTCATGCCTATAATCCTACCTACTCAGGAGGCTGAGATCTGAGGAGCAAGATTCAAAGCTAGCCCAGGAAGGAAAGCCTGTGAGATTTATCTCCAATTAAGCACCAAAAAAAGCAGGAAGTAGAGCTGTGGCTCAAATGGTAAGCACCCTGAGCACAAAGCTCAGGAACAGCGCCAGACCATGAGTTCAAGCCCTAGGACTGGCATTTAAAAAAATTCAGGGGCTGGGAATATGGCTTAGTGATAAAGTAGTTGCCTAGCATGCATGAAGCACTGAATTCGATTTCTCAGTACCACATACACAGAAAAAGCCAGAACTGGTGCTGTGGCTCAAATGGTAGAGTGCTAGCCTTGAGCAAAAGAAGCTCAGGGAGCCAGGCGCCGGTGGCTCATGCCTGTAATCCTAGCTACTCAGGAGGCTGAGATCTGAGGATCACGGTTCAAAGCCAGCCGGGGCAGAAAAGTCCCTCAGACTCTTTTCTCCAATTAACCACTAGAAAACCGCAGTGGCGCTGTGGCTCAGGCTGTACAGTGCTCGCCTTGAGCTGAAGAGCACAGGGATAGGGCGCCCAAACCCAGATTTCAAGCCCCACAACCGACCAAAAAAAAAAAAAAGCAGCAGCAGCAGCAGCTCAGGGAGAGTGCCCAGGCCCTGAGTTCAAGCCCCAGGACTGGCAAAAAAAACAAAAACAAAAAAGTTCATTGCCAGGCACGGGTGGCAAACACCTGCAATCATAGCTACTTAGGAGGCTGACAGCTGAGGATCTGCTAAGCCAGCCAGGAGGAGGGGGGAGAGGGGCAAAGTCCCCATGAGATTCTTATCTCCAATTAACCACTCAAAAACAAAAAACAAACAAACAAAAAAAAACGAAAGTGGCACTGTGGCTCAAGTGGTAGAGTGTTCACCTTGAGCTAAAGAGCTGAGGAACAGCGCCCAGGCCCAGAGTTCAAGCCCCATGACTGACCAAAAAACAAACAAAAAATTTGTCTAAAACTTCATATTAGCCTTAGTTTTTTTTGTTGTTGTTGTTTCTTTTTGTTTGTTTTGCTAGTCCTGAGGGCTTGAACTCAGGGCCTGAGCACTGCCCCTGTGCTTCTTTTGCTTAAGACTATCACTCTACCACTTAAGCCACAGTGCCACTTCCAGTTTTTTCTGATTATATGGTACTGAGGAATCAAACCCAGGGCTTCATGCATGCTAGGCAAGTACTGTACCACTAAGCCACATTCCTAACCCTAGGCTTAGTTTTGATGTAAGTCACTGCTTTTTTTCCCTTTTTTTAATTGTTCTAGACAAGACAGCAAGGGCCTCATACCTACTAGGGAAGTGATCTACACTGCCAATGCCCAGGGCAGCTCTTTACAGGAGGTTTTTTGTTTTTTTTTTTTTTGTCATGGTGCCTGAACTCTGGGCCTGGGCACTGTCCCTCAGCTCTTCAGCTCAAGGCTAGCACTCTACCACTTGAGCCACAGCACCACTTCTGGCTTTTTCTGCTTATGTGGTACAGAAGAATCAAACCCAGGGTCTGGGAAGGTAGCTCAGTAGTAGAGTGCTTGCCTTGCATGCATGAGGCCCTGCATTCCATTCCTCAGTACCACATAAGCAAAAAGAAAAAAGCCAGAAGTGGCGCTGTGGCTCAAGTGGTAGAGTGCTAGCTGAAGAGCTGAGGGACAGCGCCCAGGCCCAGGCCCTGAGTTCAGGCCCCACGACCGGACCCAAAAAAAAAAAAAAAAAGAATCAAACCCAGGGCCTCAAGCATGCTAGGCCAGCACCACTGAACCACCTTTCCAGGCCCACCGGAGTTCTTTTTAATTAATCTACTGAATTTTTTTCCTATCACTTTGCATAACTCTAGAGTACTGATTGACAAAAGCAACCTTTAAAAATAGTAATAGGGCTAGGAGACAATGGCTCATGCTTGTAATCCTAGTTACTCAGGAGGCTGAGATCTGAGGATTGCAGTTCAAAGCCAGCCCATGCAGGAGAGTCCGTGAAACTCTTATCTCCAATTAACCACCAGAAAACTGGAAGTGGCTCTGTGGCTCAAGTGGTAGAACACTAGCCTTGAACTGAAGAGCTCAGGGACCAAGCCCAGGCCCAGAGTTCTAGTCCCATGACTGACAAAAAAAAAAAAAAAAAAGACTGGAAATGTGGCTTAGTGGTAGAGTGCTAGCCTAGCATGCATGAAGCCCTGGGGTTCAATTCCTCATACCAGATACACAGAAAAAGCTAGAAGTGACACTGTGGCTCAAGTGGTAGAGTGCTAGCCTTGAGCAAAAAGAACCTTAGGCCCAATGCTTAGGCCCCAAGTTCAAACCCCAGGACTGGCAAAAAAAATTAAAAATTTAAAAAATAGCAATAATAGCCAGGTGCAGGTGGCTTACACCTGTAATCCTAGCTACTTTATCTGAGGATCACAGTTTAAAGCCAACTTGGACACGAAAGTTTGTGAGACTCATCTCCAATTAATTACCAGAAAACTAGAATTGACACAAACTGGTAGAAGGCTAGCCTTGAACAAAAGAACTCAGGAACACTGCCTAGGCCCAGAGTTCAGGCTCACAACCAACAAAAGGAAAATAGATTAGTAGTAATAAACTGAGTGTTGGACTCACACCTGTAATCCTATTTTCTCAGGAGGTTGAGATCTGAGGATCATGGTTAGAAGCCAGCCCAGGCAGAAAAGTCCATCCAATTCTTATTGCCAACAAACTATTCAGAAAAAATTAGAAGTGATGCTGTGGCTCAAGTGGTGTGCTGACCTTGTGCAAAAAAAAAGATCAGGTGCCCAGGCCCATATTCAAGTCCCAAGACCAGCACAAACACACAAAAAAAGTAATAATAGCTGTATGCTGGTGACTCATGCCTGTAATCCTAGCTTAGGAGGCTGATATCTGAGGATTGCAGTTCAAAGCCAGCCTAGGCAGGAAACTCTGTGAGATTTTTTTTTGGGGGGGGGAGGGGCTTGAACTCAGGGCCTGAGCGCTATCCCCTTTTCAGCTCAAGGCTAGCACTCTACCACTTGAGCTACAGTGCCACTTCCGGTTTTCTGGTAGTTTATTGGAGATAAGAGTTTCATGGACTTTTCTGACTGGGCTGGCTTGGAACAGCAATCCTCAGATCTCAGCCTCCTGAGTAGCTAGGATTACAGGCATGCTCCACTGGGCTCGGCTTATGAAAATTTTTTAATCTCTAACTACCAAAAAGCTGGAAGTGGCTCAAGTAATAGAGCAAAAGCCTTGAGCAAGCCACTCAAGGACAGCGCCCAGATCTGAATGAGTTCAAGCCCTAGGTCCACAATAAAATAATAATAATAGTAGTATTAATAATAACATCTGGAGGCATAGCTTATGTGGTAGAGCATCATCCTGGCAAGCTCAACATCCTAGATTCAAGCCTAAGTACTGAAGAAGTTAAAAAAAAAAAAAAGAAGCCGGGCGCTGGTGGCTCACGCCTGTAATCCTAGCTACTCCCGAGGCTGAGATCTGAGGATCGCGGTTCAAAGCCAGCCCGGGCAGGAGACACCGGGAGACTCCTCGGTTCAAAGCCAGCCCGGGCAGGAGACACCGGGAGACTCCTATCTCCAATAAACG